TCATGATTCTCTGAATCTTATAAGGTAATTCAGAAAAATTCGATGGTATACAATGGGATTCAGTTAGGGGAACCGCCCGTTTGTCCTGAATTCTTGAGCCTCTTTTCCTTTTTCTCCTGTGAAATCCTGACCTCTTGAGTCTGTTCTTTTCCTTTCTTTTTTTCTATGGTACTTTTCGCTTTTCGCAGTTTTGAACGTGCTTTCCGTAGCTACTATTTGTAAGGATAGTGAATTTAAAATGTGTATGTGTATGTTTTGTTCTTCTACATCATTCTTGCTGCAGTTTTTGGAGTATTCTTATTAACAATATATCTATATTAATTTGAAATTTATCTCGTTTATAGGGTTTTCGATTCTATAGATGATAATTGAATGGTGAATGGAATTACTTATTTCATATAGTAATAATCTCACATAAAACATCCTTTTTTGTTATTTTTGTTTGCTTTATAACATTAATATTATAATCTTTGTATTCAAATTAACTGTCTAATTTAGTATTGGAAATAATTTATTTCAGTTCCTATTTGTCGATTTAATATTTAGGAATAATTTCAGTTGCTATTTGTAGCATTTGATCGTTTTTCATCGTTTTCATTGTTCTGCGTTTTCTTTTCTAGTCCTCTTTTTCCTTATTTATATATAAATAATAATAATAATGAAAGTATGAAGAGATGCGACGGGTTATATTTTTAATATATAAGAATAAATAGAGAGTACAACTAGTGATTGGTTAGCAGTGTAATGCAAAGTCAAATTCAGTTTGCTTCATTGCCTGGAAGTTTTTTTTCTACATTTGAAGAACAGAGAAGTCTGAGATGCTTTGCGTATCTGCGGGTGTTAATGGTTCCATTAAACTTGAGGAAAGGTACTTGATACACTTGCATTGGATGTCATTGGATATGAATATCTTGCGAGTTAGTGTATACTATCATATTTTGTTGGTCGCAAAGTATATTTTGCTTCGTATGTTACTCCTTTATGCAAACCATTTTCTTTGCACAAAGAATATTCTTTGGAAAAAGAGTAATATTTTGCAACAATATTCTTGTTAATTTGACCAAAAAAAATTCTTTTCCTCCTTTTTTAGCTACGTGAACGTATACGAGAAGACTTGACTACAATAGAAAAACTTAATGGACATGTTCGGCAAGTCGAGCATCAAAATTCGATGTTAGTTTGATCTTGTAAAGGAAAAAAAAGATAACTAAAGCAGTTTTTGGTTTTGAATGTATTAATCTGGGAAGTAGTATCGGTGAAGTAGGGAAATCAATCGTTGTGCTCTTTATTAAATATGAAATAGTATAATGTTTGTTGTAGTCTTCTCACTTCAATTTTTATCATTAGCTGATGTTAAAGTATCGGATTAGTGCTTCATAATTAAAAAGGCAAACAGTCTTTTTATTTATTGAAATTTTTACAAACTAGTTCAAAAGAGGAAATGGCATAATTGTTATGATAAGATAGTGATAGGAAGAGTTTCTTCAAGATTGGAAATGAATTCAAGCAAGTTATTGCATCGAATAGAAGAATTGACGAAAACACTGAGTGAAAAAGAAGATGAAATTGGAAGAGTTTATGTACGATTGAACGATGAAGCGGATGCATTCGAAAAACGTATCATGCAAAAAGTCCGGCTGCGAAATTTCTTATTTATTATCTTAATTACTTATCTAAATGGATTTGGCGGTATTCTGTTAGGACTTTCCCTACCTCACTTTTTTTCTTAATTTGTGTTATTATTGTCAAATTTTCAGAAATTCAAAACTTTTATACCGCTGACAACGACTGAATTAAAAAATTTCAAATTATCATTTCAACTGCTTTGCAATAAGTTTTCAAATAAAGAAGAAAAAGTGTTTCGAAAAATTTTAGCAAAATGAATTAGATGATGCTAAAAAGTATTCCGAAGTTTTGGAGGAAGAATTGCATAAACCGAAGATGCAAATCGGTGAATGTTTAATGGAGCAAGTAAAGGTACCGAATCATCCAACAAACGGTGGTCCTTTTATGCTCAGCATACCAAATTATGCGGTTCAGGTAATTTTGTATACTACTGTTGAAGCAATCTTTACATTACTGGCCAGTAGTCGTTTGAGTATTGAAAAAGATGATGTAATTTGCATACCAAGAGCTTAGATTTCAGTACAAATTTTGTGATGCACAAAGCTATTTTCTGTGAACAAGCGAATTAGAAATTAGAGCAAAGAATTAAATGTCACTAAAATGAAATAGGTATAACCGGGAATAAGTTAGTGTAGAGACTGAAGGAACAGTTTTCCAGTTTTCTGTTTGGTAAAACTTTCATTTTTTGTCTTTAGTAAAACAATACATTTTCATCTAACAGCTCATGTATTTATTTGTTAAGGTAGAGCTAGCTGATGCTTTAGCAAAATATGAGCAATCTATGCGACAAATTTCGGTACTTGAAGAGAAAATTTCAACAATGGAAGCTGAAAGTCAATATTTAGGTACACTTCGACATGAATTGCAGGTTTGGTTTCTCTTTCTATGACGGTTAAATTTCTCTTTCAAAGGACATTCCAACCCCTCCAAGGAGTTTTTTTTTCGTTGTATAAAGAGTTCAGCCGGTGGAAAAAAAATTACACCCGCCTGACTTGATAAAAAAAGATTGCCTTATGTTTCAATGTCTCTAATTGTAACTAATTATATCTGTTTGATCTATTGCTGAAAACTGCAAATTTCTGATAGTAGCATGTGAAGTATACAAGAAAAAATTGCAGGCATTAAGGTTGCGTTATGAAAATTTACTGGAGGCACATGGTGAGAAAATCGAGCGAGTTGAAGAGCTTGAGTTAGATTTAGCAGACCTGAAGAAGCTATTAAAGGATCAGGTAATCATCCGAGTTTTGTATCGGAACCATTCTATTTCATCCAGTGAGGGGAAAAAAACATACGTGTTTCAGCAACGATATTTCCACTTTTAAAAAATTGAGGGTTCATTTTTCAGCATAATGTTATTGTTTGATAATAGCGATTAGAGAAAGGTTGAATTTGTTCGGTTTGTAGTTTAAATGGAACTGATAGAAAAAAAAACTATTATTAGGCTGGGAATAGGGAGTTCGATTTCTTGGTTCTTTCTCAATCCATTTCTGCACTTCTAACGTTCTAGTTAAGTAGGACTTCGGACTGATGTAATCCAGAAACGTAATTACTTTTGCAAGGATATTATTTCCTCATTCTCATTCAGTTTACTATTTGGATTTTTAAGTTTTCATGACTGCTTTCCAACCAACCAATTTTTCAGGTGGAATACTTCTTGGGAAAGAGCTGAAACGACTCTTCAAGATAGCCGTGTAATAAATACTGATGGAACATGGAAATAGAAAGTTCTTCAAAAAATGATTCAGGAAATGGTCATCTCATTTAACATGTTTCTTATTAAATATTGTTTCTTAGGTTCTAGAAAAATAATTGGTGGGAGTCATTTGAAGTTCAGGTCATGCTTGTTTGTCTGAAATTCAAATTTAAACTGGAATAGCATTTAGATGTAGCATACTTAGCTTATGGTATTTTTTGTTTGCTTCGACCACTTGGCTTGAAAGCTTTAAAAAAAAAAAAAACGTTCCGAAAAAGAGCTTAATCCCGTCAAATCTGCAACTTGTTTGATTTCGACGTTTGTTGACATCTTTTCAGATTTTTTTAAATTTAAGTGTTTTTAGTGATATATATCCTAACTTTAGTTAGTGCTGGTCTGGTCTTACCTCGTGATAATCCTGTATTTCTTTGTTTCCCTCAGTTAATAGTAGATTGCACCGTCCAATCGGAAAGCTCAGACCAATTTTTGGCTCAGAAAGAAATAAGCATATTTTTCCACATCTTTCATAATTTATTTGAACAGTATATACCAATACGTCTGTGATATCTTAACTTATCAAATTTGGTAGATTGTAGTTCTTCTGTTCAACGGGTTTCCCCAAAAAAAAAAAAATCATTTTTGAGAGGCGCTCCATATTGCCTCCATGATACATATTTTGTGAAATATAAGTGTCGCATTCATGTCGCTTTATGTCTGGACGACAAGAAATATCAATTTAATAAATCTCATTTCATGAATGTATGTCGAAATATACCGTTTTCAAATCAACTTCCCGGCTGAAATTTGGATGTGGAAATGAATATAAGTTAGGGGGAACTGTTCTTCCATATTCGGAAATGATTATCAGTGTTTCTGTTATAGATCCATCCCGAAATAGTAATTATTTGCAACTTAACCCAGGGAAATTATGATTTTGCAAATACAACTAGAATCTCTACTAATGCAATGCATGCATCGACTACTTCGTGACATTACGTGAAGAATTATCATGCACACGTATGTATACGCTATGCCACGTACCAAGTATAGCATTGCTGTATAAGCATATATAACATGTGTGCTACATACGTTATGCCACGTACCAAGCACTGCCAAATAAACATATGTAACATATATGCTACATACACCTATCCAATCAACAAGTAATTCGCATTGTCTTAGTTACACTATAGCATGAAGTATTCAGTCTTACGCACTGTACATATACATCATAGTTTCGCGGAGTGCGTAGAGTAACTCGAGGTTTGACGCAAAAACCAGAAGTTAACGCGGTTGACGCGAAAACCGGAAACTAACGTAAGATGACAGATAATCTGAATAAATTGTACAGAAATTTCGACGTAAAAATCGAAAACTGAAGCAAAATTAAAACAAAAATTACTGACGCGAAGAATGTGTATGCCGTGGTCTGAAACGTTTCATCCCGTCCCGTAGACGAACAATGATCACAATTCGTGACGTCATCAGTCGATAAGATGCACGAGGCATTATAATGGGTGTATGCTTTCGTCGTCTAATTGGTACGTCTCGCCCGAGATGATGCGAATATTTCATGGTGTTAATTAACCGAAACCATCGAGAGATCCCCGAATGAACAGCCTTGATGATTTACATATCTTTTGTTCCCACGTTTATCTAAACTAATCATCTTTAAAGCATATTCCAGACGAGACCAACAGGGAATCGCTTCGAGTGCTCGGAGGAGCAAAGCTCTAATACGCATTGGTTTGGTTAATTTGGTGGTAAAATACAAAAAAAAAAATAAAAAAGACACGAAGAGCAATTTCTACTACGACAATATATGTCTGAAGGTTGTTAACCTTACCATAAATCTCTCAATTTTTCTGTTTTTTAATTTCGCAACAAATTTTGACGACTGTTCAAGTTTATGAAATTAGAAAAAACGGAAGAAATGGAATAGATTTCTGGAATTGTCGTCGGGTAAAGATACGGTTGACTGTAATAGTAGTACTTCAATTCTGATGTTTTTTTTTTTTGTTTTCTTGTCACCGTATCTTTATCGAATTACACTAGACTATAAACACTGTAAACTATATCTATTCGTAATTTCTACCGTAACAGTACCGTTCTTATTGCTGTACTCTAGTAATATCGGTCCTTTTACTACTTTTACAGTTTTGGGCTACAAATACGATGAAATTTTTCATTATTCTTTATATACTATAGCATAATGAAATAGGTAAAGTAAAATACCTACTGATGCTATCAGTTTTTCATCCAATATGGCCATTTTTAGGTCATTTTGATAGTCGAGTATTTGAGAAAGGAGAAAAATTCTCGGAAATGTTGTAAGATATGGTAATTATGTTGTGATATATGTGAGGAATCAAGCATTTTCATATCATGCAAAGCAATTAGATATATGACGTTATCGATGTAAAACCTAAAACGATAGCGTGAGAAAACTTTGTCACCGAAGTCCGGGGATAAAATTAACAATTTAGGCAAATATCAATTTCCTCTAGTAGGAGCTGGGATTAATCTCGAAATTATTTTGTTAGCAAAAGATGA